CCCCCCCCCCCCCCAACCCCCGTTGCCAAGTTCAGCCCATTCCCACAAATCTCCCCAGGCCTATCATTGGAGCTTGGGCCTAAAGGTCATTAACAGAAGCACAGTAGCAGCATTTGGTGCAGATATTGGTCCTGATCAAGAGATGATTAATATATTGAGCCAGCAGTAAATTACTGGTATTTGAGGTTCTCAGCACAAGTGACCCTAATGTGGATAAGGACTGGCACCACTAATGGAGCAGTTGAAATCGGGAATACTCAAGACGCCAGAATCAAATCGCGAAGAGCTCACAAAATGTGGAGCAGTTGGGGGGGTGGGGGGTGATGGTCATGGATGGATCTGAAAACAGGGATGAACATTTTAAAAGCTGAATGTTAATATGAGTTAGGTCACAGCAGTGAAGTTTTGGATTAACTGCAGGTTTACCTCAATTTGCTACCTTCCTGATGTGGCCACCTGCAACAATGGGACCAGTTCAAAATGGCAGCAGGCTGAACAGGATTGGAACATTAAACACGCTGAATTTCAGCACACTGCGAATAAATTCCCAATCCATCACAGATAATACAAATAATTTCTCGGCGCTGTAAATTTATCTTCGGATGTGTTATAAGTTAATCTGAAGAATTCATTCTGAATGCCAGCTAGTCACGAAACTCTGCTGTAGGCTGCAGGAGCTGTGAACCCTCACTTCAGCTCCATAGATTCCCTGTCCACAACCCACTCCCACCAAAGATCAGCATTACTGAAACTGAAATCTATCACTGTTTCTATATTCAAGGTATCTACCTCAGAAAAACTATATTTATCAAGTACTTAACACAAGGTAAGAACTAAAGATCAGTTGCAGAGATAAAAGAGCCACAAATTAATAAACAAGGCCACTGGTTTGCACTTTTCCTGAAAGTCTGAATGGAATTGTGGTATTTGAGCTTCAAATATGCCAGAAAGCCTTGTAGTCAGAATATAATTTGTCATGTTCGGTTACCATAAATGAATGACCCTAATGGTACATTTAACATTGGAGAAGATTACTGTTGTTATAAAATCTTCAAACTCACTGCAATGTTTACTATTTGGAAAGTAAGGTTTTTTTTGTGAGTTTTTTTTGTTAGTTTTTTAATAACACGGATGCTTAACTTACCTCGGTTTGTTCTTGTTTGTTGCATTCGTTTAGTTAGACAAGTACAATTGTGCCTTAAAAAAATTAAAGAAACTGGGTGATTATGGTGAAACATTTTTAATAGAATGGCCAATTTCAGGTTCACTTGGCATATGGAAGGCAAATGCAATTTTAGAATTCATTTTGAGGGCTAGAATACAACAGCAGAGATGTATTGCTGAGGCTGTATAAGGCTCTGGTCAGACGGCGTTTGGAATATTGTGAGCAGTTTTGGGCCCCTTTTCTAAGGGAGGATGTGCAGTCTTTGGAGGAGATCCAGAGGAGGTTTTACAAGAATGACCTCGGGGATGAAGAGCTTGTCAGATGAGGAGCATTTGATGACTCTGGGTCTGTACACAATAGAGTTTAGAAGGATTGGGGGGGATCTGATTGAAACTTTCAGAATATTGAGAGGCCTGGATATAGTGAACATTGAGAAGATGTTTCCATTAACAGAAGAGACTTGGACCCGAGGGCACATCTTTGGAATGAAGGAATGACCCTTTAGAACTGAGATAGGGAGAAATTTCTCAAGTCAGAGGATGGGGAATCTATGGAATTCATTGCCAAGGAGATAGGTAAGTTCTTCATTAGTAAGGGGATCAAGGGTTACAGAGAGAAGGCAGGAGACTGGGGTTGAAAAACCTATCAGCCATGATTGAATGGCAAAGCGGACTCGATGGGCCGAATGGCCTAATTCTGCACCTATACCTCATGGTCTCTGTAGTTGGAGCTGCCACACTCTTTGTGATAGGGATTGTTAATTTTGGGACCAATCAGTGTCTAGTCCAGTGCACTAGGTCTTCTGATTGTGCAAATAATGAAACACGCTCTAGCTTTGATGTTTTTTCATTCTTGCACTTTTTTTTTTACCCAAAAGAAAATTGCTCTTACACATTTGAATACCTTCAGAGGAACAGCTTCTCTTAATTTGTCACTTTCACTTTAGTTTCTAACAAAGACTTTGCCCACAGCTTCAAACTTACGCACTGAGTAAGTGGGGTCCATAGTACCTGAATAGTTTGTATCCATTTAGGTCCATGCTGCAGGGAACCTCAGTATACACTGGTGGCTGCATTCACTGCTAACCGCTCCCCCTGTGGAAAGAAATGCCATTTACATCCACAGATTAATGAGCATAGAACAGTTTGGCTCCTTTCCTGTGGTTTGTCATTGGATTAAATGTTATGTTTTATTTTCCTTCTTCAAGGAAGCATTTGAGCCGCATCAAATATTTTAGATGGAGCAAAATTAATGGCCGTTATATGGATTTAAGAAGACAAAAAAAATGTGCAATACAAAATTTAATTGCTGCAAGACGAGCCTTGTAAATGTTGCAAGTGCTGGCCTGTGAACACTTGCTTCAACACTCTGTTAAATAGAGGAGTGTAACTACTGGGTGTAATAAAGTCAATGGACCCAGTGTGTAAAACATTGATCGCTAAAATACGAGTTTCAGAATTATCGCTTTATTGCACTGATGCTGCTGGAGAACGTTTTCTCCTTGCCTTTTTTGTCAGCTGATCCCGCTGAAGTAGATGAAATACTTCATGGAAATGTGACATTGTTTGTGATATTGCAGTTTTTCTAGTCCCTAATGGATGAATTCTGCTTGGATTTAATCCAAGCCTGTCTGTACATACAATAGATGCTACATGTAGCGGGCAGCGATAGGGTTTGATCCTGTTCTGAAGAGAGTCACTAGACCCAAAACGATAACTCTGCTTTCTCTCTACAGATGCTGCCAGATTTGCTGAGTCTTGCCAGCAATTTCTGTCTTTGTCTCTGATTTCCAACATCCTCAGTTCTTTCGGTTGTTTTGATCCTAGTCTGTGTTGAGTTATCTGCTGTGTCAGAGAGCGCAATACATTTGGACGTGGAGTAGAAAAACTTTCCCATTCTGGATCACTCTCTTAACTCTGTTGAAATGAACAATATGTTAAAATACAGGTTGTGGTGGGGGGCAGGGAGTTGCGAAAGTGGCCATTTATACTACTTGTTGCCACAAAAGCAACCAACATCATCAAAGACCCCTCCCACCCCAGTTATAATTTCTTCCAACCTCTCCCGTCAGGCAGAAGATACAAAAGCTTAAACACACGTACCAACAGGTTCAAGAACAGCTTCTTCCCCACAGTTATTAGACTCCTGAATGGACCCCTCAAATTTCAAATTTAATGTTGATCTTGCTTTTTGTGCACCTTCTTTGCAGCTTTAACTTTGTATTCCTCGCTCTGTTCAATTACCCCATGATCTTTGTGTCTTTATATGTTATGGTCAGCTGTACTGTACGCAAAACAAAACTTTTCATTGTTCTTAGGTACATGTGACAATAATAAAATCAAATCAGACCATTTCCTCCAGCAGACTAGCTTGCTGTGTCCAGGTTTAGAGGGAGGGTTAGGGTTAGAGACAGACAATAATGACCTGAGCAAGGTGCCAAAAGGATTGCAGAAGGGTGCGTTATAAACCTGACGAGAGAAGATTGAACCACTCCCAGTGGTAGAAAGGAAATCCATGGAGTGTACCAGGCCTTCCGTTTTCCAGTTTTCTGGCTTGTGCTGGAATTAAGAATCACCCCTAAACCTGTTAAAAACCAATTTTAAGAGAGTCGGGCAGTGTTTAAAAGAAAGGTGTTACATTCTACTTTTTAGAATATTGCTGAATTTAAGTGCAGTTGTAAACTTCATCCTTTGTCCAGGAATTGATATTATAACCAGGATAACCTTCAAAAGAAAAATCAGTGTCTCCTTTGAGTAGAACTCCTCCCCTCAGCGAGCTATGAACGTTATTTGATCTCTTTCTGTTAGATGGTGTTTGATGTTCTGTAATTCCCTTTTTATTTTGAAAGCACGAATGGAAGTATTTCAATTCAGTCTCTGACAAACCTGTCACCCACCCTGATTTCATGTCAGTCCTCAGCAACGTTGAATACATCCTAATTAAAGCTTCCTATGGTACTGGGCTCCAGCAAAGCAGGTAAGCAAAGTCATGATGTGACGCTGACTTCAAGTATAAATAAACCTAGAAGGCTTTGGTGATAGGGTTGCATGGTTCAGAGGTCAAGGGGCCAACACAATCCTCTAGGAGACATTTCCCATCATCCTCTTGTCCACCTGGACCTCTCCACAGTTTTACTATGGAGCGGTCAAGGCCTAGTGGACCCTTAGATGGGTAATTAATGAATGCTTTAGGGCTATTTCCCACTCAGTCTCTATTTTGAGGCGGGTCAGAGGAGTTCAAACCCAGAAGGTGACCCAGGTCAGGCTTTGAGGATCTGAAAGAGGCTGGGACTCCTCCATCAATGGCAACCTTTTAAACACCAGGCCTCTTCCTTTGGCTGGTTCATCTTGTATGGCCTCTGTGCCAACACCCCCAGCCCTGCCCTGCTCTGCTCAAACTGCTGGATCTCACCTCCCTTGCCCCACTCCAGCCTGAGACACCTGGCACTCACTACAGGAGCCTCCTGGGAATGACAGAGCTGCTGGCCAAAAGGTCCCTGAGGTGGGACGTTCTCTCGAGTGAGTGGCCAAAGCCCCACCTTCCACCAGTTAACAGACCTCTGTCAGTGGGAATACATTCAGCACTGGCTCTTCGACATCGGACTGAAACCCCACCATCCCAGATCTTTGGACAGTGTTGTCTATATTGTGGTTTTTAACCAAGGTGGTGGACTTCAATGTAAAATGATAGAGACTGTCACTCATGACCTAAAACAAAAACTGCTGCATGCGTGGCTTTAGAACGTACATGGCTGAATTTTAGTTCCAGCACCTCAGTCCCATCGAATTCAGGTCAGAAGCTGGACTACAGCTGAGGGAAACGCTGTAAGAGTTTTTTGAGGAGGCCACTTCTGGAAGATCCTTTCCAATGATGGATTCTGGGCATGCTGTACATAAGGAACAGCCAATGGGAACATGCCACTAGGGAAGCCAAGCGGCCCATGGCCCACCTGGGTAAGGTGGGCACTGCCATTTAGGTTCCTTCTGAAAACTCGCAAATGACGCTGTGCCCACTGCTGCCAGAACCCGCTCTGGAGGGTGACCTGACCATCCCAGCCCAGTGGTTCCAGCCTGGGCCACTTTTTGTAAGATGCACCTCCAGCGCCAATTGAACAACACGCCATATCTAACCCTCCCTCAAGTGACAGAAACAGGCCCACAGGTCTACAGGTTGGTGGAGAACACTGGTCTCCCACCTCCAGAACCCAACTCCTAACTTGAAATGAAAACTCTGCTCGTTGTTACCATCACATCTGTAAAAAAATAGCTTGTATTACCAGAATCGTACAGCGAGGTCTGGAAATCAGAGTTGCAGAGCATGAATGAATAGGTTACCATTCAGAAAGCTCACATTGGCTGTGCTGGCAATGCAATTTGTTTCAATCAGGGCTAATGGCTATTTTGGCTGATCAAAACATTTAGCCTTAGAATGACCCTAAATGGTTGGTAACAAGTAAATCGACCAAAGTGTGCTGCAAGAAAACTTCACACGTGCCAAAGTGAAATCACAATCATGCAACAAGTCACTCAGTTTTTCGCTAAGAACACCTACTCGGGAAGAACTGTTGGTATAAGCTTTGGATCCTGATAATGCTTATCACTTTACCCTTAACGTCACCGTGCAAATGCTGCAATGTCTATTGTCTGCTCAGTGTCCCAAGGATTATTATTTGTAAAATATGTCCTTTTTCTATTCTTTCATGGGAGGTGGGATGTCACTGGCTGGACTAGTATTTACTATCCATTCCTAACTGGCCTTTAGAAGGTGTTGGGCAGTTGCCTTCTTGAATCACTGCTGTCCTTGACGTCTAGGTATGCCCATAGCGAGGTTAGGAAGGGTGTTCCAGGATATTGACCAAGTGACAGTGAAAGAATCATTATATAGTTCCAGGTTAGGATGGAGAGGAGCCTGTAGGTGGCGGTGTTCCCTATTTAAAGTATTTGGAAGGTGCTATTGGTGGAGCTTTAGTGCATTGTTGCAGTGCAGTTTTGTAGTTGGAACGCACTGTTGCTACCCTGCATCGATGGTTCAGGACGAGTGTGATTCCTGGAGCTGGGGACTGGAAGTATGTCATTTCAGGGGCGAGTTGCACCACCATCTTGTCATTTTGAGGTCCCCAATTTCCTGTTACTATCAGACACCACCTTCACAAGGGGCAACTAGGAATGGGTAACAAATGGTGGCCCGGCCACATCCTGTAAAAGATTGTTTCGAAAATAGACGTTGCAGCAGACTGCTTAATAGTTCTTCTCATTTATTAGAAAAAAGGAGCCGAATATTTGAATATCACATTGTATAAACAAAAGAAAGTGACCACTGGTTTGCTTCATGAATTAAAGAAGTCTGTTCACATTGTATACCTGTTCTCATCTTGCCAGGATTTCTAATATCTCCATGGAGATTGCGATGGAGGATGATGGAACTCATGCATCGAGAGATCGTGCACATCAGATTGAGATCTGTGACTGTCCCCCTGGATACGCAGGCCTCTCATGCCAGGTATAGATGAGCTGGGCTATACCAATTGCTTCTAACCTATGTTCCCAGCTACTGAACAGAGCTGTGTGTATTTAGCAATAACTTTCACCCAATTATGATGGCATTGCAGCCTAACAGGTGTCAGTGCAACCTTTGCATTGAGCTGGCTGGAGCTAAAATCCTTTGAAAATTAGGAGCAACGTGTAATTAGATGTTAAGTGGATTTTATGTTCAGTCGGTTCAAAACTGTACAGTATAATTGGGTCTTTTGTGAAGGGGTAGTGAGCTGTAGAGTCAGGTTTAAGCATGATACGAATTTGGAACACTCTTTGTGAAAGACTTTGGTTGCGAGGAAGCTTGGACCTTTTAAAACTGGGGATAATGGAGTTTTGATTGTAAGGGTGTTGTAAAGCAAAAGCAAGAAGATAGAGGTGAGGCTCAGTTCGGTTATGTTCTTATGGATGGTGAGGCTGGCCCAAGACATTATAGCCTCCTAGGTTGTCATGACATTAAATATGACACATGGTCTTGGAGAGGGATGAATTCCAACTCAGCCTCCCATTTCGCCTTTGAAAGAAATGGCTGACATTTGGCTTTGTTGTATCTACAAAGATACCTCAGGCATTGCTCTGTCTCAACTGCGCCTGTCAATGGGTTAGTAGCCTACCTGCCTAAAATATATGTACAGTTCTTTAAGTATACAAACTGCTGTCCCATAAGGCCATAAGAAATAGGAACAAGGGCAAGCCATTCGGCCCCTTGAGCCTGTGCTGCCCTTCAATAGAAAAGTGGCTGATCTGACATTCCTCACATCCACTTTCCTGCTCTTACCCTTGACTCCCTGACTGATCAAGAAGCTGTCAATCTCCCCCACAAGGATTTTACCCCCACATTTTTCAACTCTCTGACAGGAGAAATTCCTCCTCATCTCAGTTGTAAATTGGAACCCCTTTATTCTGAGCCCCATGCCAAATCTGTTTGCAATGATGATCTACATGGCATTTGGACAGTTTAATAATTGCCCAGTGAAGCTGTCTGGCCTGCTGAGTCCTTCCAACATTTTCAGCTCATAATTCTGCAACTGCAATATTTTGCCGCTGTAGATGGGGTTTGGGTATTATCAAGTCTGGTTTTAACAAACTGTTGATCGTAGAAGGAATTCAGACAGTAGAACATAGAGCTCAGAAAATTCAAAGTCAAACTAAAAAGAAATCAATACAAGTACCAAATAGCACGGTGAATAGAGTTGACAGAATACAAACACAGTGGAACGTAGGAGGCTGAAGGATGACCTTACAGAGGTTTAAAAATCATGAGGGGTACAGGTAAGATGAATGGCAGGTATCTTTTCCCTAAGGTTGGTGATTCAAGACTAGGGGATATATTTTTAGAGTGAGGGAAGAACGATTTAAAAAAGACCTGAGGGACGAGTTTTTTACACAGAGACTCATTCACGGATGGGGGTACAGTTACAATGTTTAAAAGATATTTGGATAGGTACATGAATATGAAATGTTTGGAGGGATAAGGACCAGGAGCAGGGAGGTGAGACTAGTTTAGTTTGGGATTATGTTCGGCATGGACTGGTTGGACTGAAGGGTCTGTTTCCATGCTGTATGACTCTGTGACTCTATGTGATGGTAGATTCAAGCAGAACATATTTGTAGGGAATAATTTTTCACTTAATCTGGCAGCAGGACTCAACTGGAGTTTGTCCCCCTCATCTATTTTAAACCGTTTGCCAATGAAGGTAATGGAAAGTAAACTTGAATAAGGTGTGAAATGAGTGAATGGTATGTCCCCTTCAGTTTCCTGCTGAGTGACGTAGGTTTAAGTTACTTATCAGTAAGAAATACTATACTTTACCTTTTCACTGTTATCTTGGTTTTTAAAGGAATGTGCTCCTGGGTTCTACAGACAGAAGATGATATTTGGCCTACAGTCACTCGATATTGTGTGTGTCTCATGCCAGTGCAACAATCACAGTAACGTCTGTGACCTTGATACAGGCAAATGTCAAGTAAGTGCCACCTATCGATGAATGAAGCCCGTGCAAAGATTTACAAGATGCTGTAACTAAATTGATCAGTAACACTGTGCCCTTCAATATGAATCCAATCGCTGGATGAGGTTTGAGAAATCATTCACTGTTTGCTGATGGGCAGGGGAGAATTTTGGGGTGATTTTCAGCCCGGAGGCGGGTATTGGGAATCAGTAAATGCCGGCTCTGAAGGCAGAATTTTCAATGTCGGAAGCTGTTGCTGGTTGCAGCCAGACCAGTGGATCCATGACTGGTAGCTGCAGAGAGCTGCTGTTTAAAGGTCTACATTCGTCCCTTCTGTTTCTTAAAAAGGAAGAGCAGGCCCTTCCCATCCCCACACACTACCCATGCCCCATCTGTGCCACTCTATACCCCCAAACTCCTCATGAACCATGCCAACGTGTGCCTCTCCTCCCACTCTGCCAGACCCTTCCATGCCCCATTCACCCACTTTTTACTGTCTGGACACAATGACCCCTACAGTGACAAATGAATGTGTAAAAAAAATTGATAAGAAACAGTCATTTATTGATAAATGAGTTCTGAAGAAGTGTCATTTCGGACTTGAAACATTAACTCTGATTTTTTCTGCAGATGCTGCCAGATCTGCTGAGTTTCTTCAGCACTTTCCATGTCTGATAACTTTTCACAACTTTAAAACCACTACGTTTAAAACACTCCAATCATTTGCAACCTACCATAAGTATCAATTATTTTAAAGTTTCAGCAGCCGGAATCTCAAACATTTATAATCACTTCACCTGCTGCAAACAAACGTTGTAAGATTCATCCAAGACCTGTCAATGAAGCAGGGTTTCAGGACAATAATGGTTATCATAGAGTCCTACAGCACAGAGACAGGCCCTTTGGCCCAAACTTGTCCATGCTGACCAAAATGTCCATCCACGCTAATCCCATTTCCCTGCACTTAGACTATATCCTTTTAAACATTTCCTGTCCATGTATTCGTCCAAATGCCTTTTAAATATTATTAATGTACCTGCCTCAACCACTTCCACTGGCAGCTCATTCCATATATGTATCACCCTCTGTGTAAAAAAAGTTGCCCCTCAGGTTCCCATGTATTCTTTCCCCTCTTACCTTAAACTGATGCCGTCTAGTCCCTGGTTCCCCAACCCTGGGAAAAAGACTGAGTGCATTCACCCTATCCATGCCTCTTATGATCTTATACACTTCTATAAGATCCCCCCCTCTTAGTCTCCTATGCTTTTGTCCAACCTCTCCCTATAACTCAGTCCCTTGAGTCCTGGCAACATCCTTGCAAATTTCTTCTGCATTCTTTCCAGTTTAATAACATCCTTCCTATGGCAAGGTGAACAAAACTGAACACAATACTCCAAGTGTGGCCTCACCAATGTCCTGTACAACTGCAACATAACTTCCCAACTTCTACACTCAATATCCTGACTGATGAAGGCCAGTGTGCCAAAAGCCTTCTTCACTGCCCTATCTACCTGTGACTCCACTTTCAGAGAACCGTGCACCTAAACTCTAAGGTCCCTCTGTTCCACTACACTCCTTAAGGCCCTACCATTCACCATGAAACTCCTACCTTGATTTGACTTTCCAAAACGCAACACCTCACACTTGTCTACATTTAACCCCATTTGCCATTTCTCTGCCTACTTCCCCAGCTGGTCCTGCTGCAATTTCTGATAAGCTTCCTCGTTGTCCACGATATTGCCTATTTTATTGTCATCCACAAACTTACTAATCATGTCTTGTACATTCTGGTTATCTCCATCAAGCCTCATTATGCATTTGTGGCTGGTGGAATATGGAAGCAGCAAGAGGAGACCTTAAATTGGCATTAATGCCATTCAACAATGTAACATTTCAAGGGTTGATATGCATATGAGTGTCAGCTGACTCTGACTCTGACTCTGAGCTCAGTGTCAATTTTGTTAAAATTCAGCCTGGAGATGTTTGCAGAGGTCCCTGGGTAGTAGAAACTGGCCCTGTAGAAATTTAAAATGCCTGGTCAATCTCAGTGCGTGTATGCATGCCAGGACCTCTGCAGGGTCTGTGTGCCATCTCCCAACTTAGGTCCCATTTCCAATAATCTAGAGACTGAAAGGTCAGCATCTCTAACAGTGAAGGACTAGCTTAGTACAGTACTTCAATAGACTGCCAGTCTTGGGTTTTTGTGCTGAAGTCATGCAACTTCCTTGCTCCAGAGGTAAGAGGACAACCAACTGAGGAATACAAGGGGTAACAAGGTGTAGAGCTGGATGAACACAGCAGGCCAGGCAACATCAGAGGAGCAGGGAAGCTGACGTTTCAGGTCTGGACCCTTCTTCAGAAATGCAAGGGCATTGACAAGGGCCTGCCTTTACACTCAAGGAACGATTCGAAGTTTGTGAGTCAAAACAAAGTCACTGTTGAGAAACCGTCAAGGCTCAATCAAATCCTTGGATTCCTTCCTCACGTTTTTGAGATGAGGAATTCTGCCCAGCCTGGCAAACGTATCCCTGGGAGACCAATGCAGAGGTAAACTATAAACCTGGACCTTGCCACCTCACCTCTTAGTACCACAGTGGGTTCCGTAAAGCAGAAGAGTCATTGAAACCTCACCCCATGCAGCCCCCAACACCATGAGTTTAGCTTTTATTTTGACCCAGTAATTTAGTAGAAGAATCACCATAATAATTTTTAACACTAAAAAAAATTCTAACAAGCCAAGGGCTGGGCAGTGCATGAACAAATTAGCAAAGCTATATCACACAAAAAAAATCTAATGTTTCTTATAATTTATTTTGCTGACATACTGTGTAGACGTTCTCACATCCCAGAGGTATAGCCAGAGTAGATCTTGTTTAAAATTGTGGTTCGATCTGAAGGAAATACTCTTTTTACTTCTTTGTGAAGCCAAATTTAAAAGCTGTAGATTGCTCTCCAGATATAAGGCAATAACGTACCCTTCTGGATGCTGAGATTAACTATTAACTTTGATTTAGAATAGCAATTTTAGCTGGAAATGAGAGCAATTTCTGATTTGATATTATGCATATTAGATTCCCACTTGTTAACGTTGTATTGATCACTATTAAGCCCAAACAGTGCAATAAAGCTCTGGTATAATAGTTCTCCATCCTTCCTAATGAAAAACTCTCAAAGCATGGCGATAAACTCAATTGCAAGGCTTTCAGAAGGCAGTGGGAGTAGCTGAACTCTTTCTTTCATTGTCAAAAATTGGAAATTAATACCTTGATTAGGAAGATGATAACTGTATATGTGATTAGATCCAATGCTCGAATTAAACTATTAGTATAAAATATTCCACAGTCATGATCACCTTTGCTGATGCTGATACTACAATAAGCAAGCCTTTGACTTTAATAAATAGGCAATAGCTATTCTGCCTTAAAATACCTTCACAAGATCAGAGGCCACATCTTATTAGTAAGCACCTGCAGATTGTATGTTAAGGATGTCAAGACTTGTGGTTTTGCAGGCAATAACCACACATTTCATTTATTTCAGCTATTGAATGTGTGTGAGACAGGGAATTTTCAGCCTGTCTCTCAAATAAAACTCCAAGGCTATTGTCCCTGGCTGCTCTGGTGCTGCCTCACTGAGGAAGCAGTCTTTCAGAGAGAGGTGATGGCCCTCTAAATATAGATATGGCTAACCCAAGTCATGTTTATGTGGATTATAACTGCATTAGTCTTACCTCTAACTCCAGTCAGCAAGGATAACCTGCTTGTTATTTTCTGTTTCTCGAAATCAGGCTTGTCGTGACAACACTGTGGGTGATCACTGTGAGCTGTGCGCTTCAGGGTACTATGGCAGAGTCAATGGATCTGTCGCAGACTGCTCCCTTTGTGCCTGTCCCAGGTCCAATTCTGGCAGGTAATGTTTATAACCACAGGCACCTGTTGTTCTCAAAGCATTTTCTTTCGTTCTGAAAGGAGGCAAGTGTATCTCACATGTTGCTGCACAACACATTTGAGGTGATCAGATGCAATGGGGATAAAATGAAAGAGTGTAGGAACTAGGAACAGGAGTGAGCAATTCAGCCCCTGGAGCCTTCTCCTTTTGATGTGATCATGGCTGATCTCATCTCGGCCTGAACTCCACTTTCTTGCCTGCTCTCCATAAACCTTCAACCCGTTACTAATTCATAATCGATCTATCTCCTCCTTACATTTACTCAATATCCCACCCACCACACTCTGGGGTACTGAATTCCACAAATACATGACCCTTTCTCCTTATCTGTTTGAAATTTGCTACCTCTTATCCTAAAACTATGACCTCTCATTATGGATTATTCCATGTGTGGAAACATCCTTTCGATGTCTACAGTGAAAGTGAAAGAAAATAATCAGGAATACCTTAAGTGCCTCGAAAGGCCAGTCAGAATTTCACTACCACCTTCACAGCGCCAACTGGGGATAGGCAGTAAGTGCTGGCTCAGCCAGCGATGCCCACCTCCCACGAGTGAGTAAAATAAAATGATGGATAGGTGATGCTGGTATTAAGATTGGAGCGTTTCTTTGGAAGCAAAGACAGCATCACTGATACTGAGCTTCTTTCTTGGAGCATGTCTGCAATCCACAACCCTATCTAATGACCATCCACTTGGGAGCAAACTAGCATTGAATTTGGCAGTAATGTTGACCTTTGCTAATGCCAACATCGTTAAAAGAACTGTAGCTTATTTTTACTTGTGGAGATTCTAGATACATAAAGAGATTTGAGAAAGATGCACATTTACGCTCTTGTTAAGAAAGGGATTTCTGGCAGCAAAACAAATACAAAGGGTTGAATTTTGCCCATTGTCACACTCAGTAGTTCTATTGAAGTTAATCAATCAGTGTTCTCACCTGAATTGTGGCAAATGTTTGTGCTGATGATACTAAGGGGTATTGGTGGTTTGAAGTGTTTGCATTTCAGATACTTCCCAAAATGTGCTCAGTTGTGTTACTTCAGCATCTCATCAGCATCAAACATTTCCAAATGTGCTTTTCTCTTTCACTATAAAAGATATTGATGTGTCAATCCTGCTTAATTTTTAATTTAATGGAGGTAATTTTAGCTTTGATGGATAGTATAAAAAGAAGGGGCAGAAATGTGTACACCCAGACTTCATTGAAAAGAAGAATTAGATGGGTTGTATAAGGTTAGGGGGAGTCAATGTTGTCCTTTTTACACCAGCGATCTAAGATAAAGTTACCCCTAATTTTTCAAGATCCCATGAAAGATCATTATACTGTGCAACGGAAGTAAATGCAGGTATGCAATAAATAAATAGTTTAATATGCCATAAATATGTTTTGAAGCAATTGTGAACAACAAATATGCCCGTTATTGCAAATTGTTTTGTAACCAAACCATATCAATTTTTTGTTGAAATAAATCCCCAATGGTTTTGAACTCCTGTCAACACATGTCTCACAATTGTTTTGTGTTGCTTTCTAACTCTGCCCCCTTTCTTTCACCAGCTTTAGCCCCACGTGTGTATTGGAGGGTGTACGTGATTTCCGCTGTACTTCCTGCCTGGTTGGGTATGAAGGACAGTACTGTGAGAGGTTGGTTTCTTTATTATATCAGACACTGTCATTATTGTTGTTTTCCCACATGGCTTGGAACCCTGTACAGTCTTTGCATAGCAGATTTATCTGTTACATAAATCAACGTTACTCTGATTGTAATTTTACAAGAAAATGTCATGCTTTAAGAACTGTATGCCATCTAGCCATATAATTTAATGGCTGAATCTCATTCATTCTACCCCGAACAATCAAATGTTATGCTCTTCATGTAAAATGTAATGGGAATTGTGCTATGCATAGGAGCAGTTGGCATGGGTCTTGTTAGATAAATTCATCCTTTCTCAGATGTGTGTCATCCTATGTGAGAGTTTAGTACACAGAAAGATACTTGAAAAATCAAAAGGCCATCATTAAACACTGATTTCTTTTCTGTTTCTTCCTGTTTTGTGCCTTTAGATGTGCGCCAGGTTACTATGGTAACCCACATGTTCCAGGCGGTAGATGTCAAAGGTGTGAATGTAACCCGAATGGTTCTGTGCACATCAACTGTGATCCTTTAATGGGCCACTGCGTTTGCAAGTCAGGTGTAACAGGGCGTCTCTGCAATCAATGTGAATCTAAGCATGTGCTGATAGAAAGCGAATGCATATGTATGTATATTTACATCTTTTTACACGTTAGAAACATCTTAAATGGATAACATAGGATGAAGTTTTCTGTAGACTCTCCTGTTTCCTTTAGAATAGGTTTTGGCAATCTGTTCCAGACACCCTGATTCATTGTGACAGAAAATTATTTCTGGCATCAAGTCCTCTATTTCCTGATTTTGTTTTTCTCCTGACTCATTTAGAGGATGTGCTGTTGCTGGTGAAGCCAGCATTTGTTGGCCACCCCTCATTGTACATGAACCGAGTGGCTATTTCAGAGACAATTTAAGAGACAAGCACATTGCTGTGGGTCTGGAGTCGCGTGTGTGTGGCAAACCAAATAAAGGATGGCATGATACCCACCTTAAAGGACATTAATGAACAAGATGGGTTTTTACAGCAACTGAAGATGGATGTCATGGTCATTATTAAGCCCTGCAATAGCTATTGTAGAATTTGAACCACTGTCCACAGAGCATAAGGCTAGACCTCTGGATTACTAGTCCAACGAAATTGAGTTGTGTCACCATCTCTATGACGTCCCTGAGTTGGAATTATAGAAACCATACACTGTGGAAGCAGGCCATTCAGCTCATCAAGTTGATACCGCCCCTCTGAAGAGCATCCACCCAGACCCATCCCCCTACTCTATAACCCTGCAATTCCCATGGCTAATCCACCTAGCCTACACATCCCTGGACCCTCAAGCATGTCCAATCCACCTGTAACCTCCACATCTTTGGAGCGTGGGAGGAAACCCACGCAGGCAGAGGAGAACATGCAAACTCCAAACGGAAGCCTGAGGGTGGAATTGAACCTGAGTCCCTGGCGCTGTGAGGCAGCAGTGCTAACCATTGAGCCACCGGACCAATGGGTTCTCCTGTCCATAACCAGATCAAATAACCAGATGAGAGAAAACATTTGTAAAGCTGTAAGAAAAGTGTGGCAGTGTGGAACTAGTTGGGCAATGATTAATTACCCATGGGGAAATCCCTTCCAAAGAACCAGCACAGACACAATAAGTCAAATGGCCTCTCTCTGTGCTGCAACATTCGGAATCATTTGAGAGCCCAACCAACAGACTTGAAATGTGATTGTCACTGAGTAGCCTGATTATGATTGAACACTGTGTGACATGTCATATCATACAAAAATTTGTTAACCTTGCTCAGTAACAGCCAGTTTCCACCAGCTGTGTGTTGTAAAATTCATTACTTCCAGCTTTTGAGTCTCGCTGCTGCTTGGAGTTGAAATTCCACAGAGCAATGTTTATAGCACCTTGGTTAATGAATTTATATGCAAGGTTCTTCCGTTTAACAGGGCTGTTATCTTGTTCAGTGCAAACAGATCAATATTGTTTAAAAAGTAAACAGAAATGTTATTCAGGTGCCAAGGCATTTCAAATTATCGCACAGTAGATTTTCAATTTTCCCGTGCTTCAGGGAAGACAGTCTGTATTGTTAGTGTTGAACATCATGTTTCATGATCAACTGGATATGATCTGCCATTCATTCTGGTCTGCTTTTAATGCACTTACAGGGAAAAGAGATTGCACAGAGAAAACTCTGTGATGAGGTTACTGATATCAGTGGACAGGTCAAAGGGATTATTTTAAAAATCACAGGTACCTTGTTCTGAACAGTTTTGTGCACACACATGTTTGTGCATGAGAGTCAGGTACTTGCATGTACCGATATTGAGGCTACACACATTGTGCAGTAGCTTTTTGCTCTGTTGTCATAGAAAGCCTTTGATAAGGTTCTGCATAGTAGGCTATTTAGTAAAGTTAGATTGCATGGGATTCAGGGTGAGGTTGCCAATTGGATACAAAATTGGCTGAATGGCAGGAAACAGACAGAGAGTGGTAGTGGAAGGTTGTTTTTTGGACTGGAGGTTTGTCACCAGCAGTGTTCCACAGGGATCAGTGCTGGGTCCACTTTTGTTCACATTTACATAAAAGATTTGGATGAGAATTTAGGACGCAAGATTAGTAAGTTTGCAGATGACACTAAAATTGGTGGCAGAGTGGACAGTGTAGAAGGTTTCCTAAGATTACAAAGAGATCTTGATAAATTGGGTCAACGGGCTAAGGAGTGGCAGATGGAGTTTAGTTTGGAATAAAGGCGAGTTATTGCACTTTGATAAAGCAAACAAGGGTGGGACTTATACAGTTAGTGGTGGGTCCCTGGGTAGTGTTGTAAAACAGAGATACTTAGGGTGCAGGTACATAATTCTTTGACATTTGCATTACCGGTAGACAGGCTGGTTAAGAAAGCATTGCAGGAGAAGGCGTTGCAGAAGGAGACAGTGCAGGAATATGGTGTTGGTGTTGAAGTTGAAGATAAGCCATTATATTATTGAATGGCAGTGTAGGCTGAAAGGGTTGAATGGCTTCCACCTGTTCCCATTTCTTACATTCTTCTGTTGTTCCAGCTCTCCTGTTGAGGAACAGAGCTTGTGGGAAGTACATTTCTAAACTCACAGATGTTCCAAACATGCCTAAAAGTGACCCCTTTCTGCAGTAAGATGAGGATGCAATTTTACACTAGGGAATTTAAAAAGAAACTTTTACCACAGCTTGCAAACTAATTAAACTGGAAAAAAACTCGAATAAAAGTGAAATAGTGTGGATGCTTGAAATTTGAAACAATCACAGAGAATACAGAAGTTCAGCAGGTCCAGCAGCATATGGGGAGAGAGAGGAACAGAAAGCCCGTTATCACTGTTTTTGAAGAGTCACACTGGACTCAACATTAAGTCTGTTTCTGTCTCCATGGACACTGTCAGGGCTGCTGAGTTTCTCGAGCAATTTCTGTGTTTTTTTTGGAAAAACTCACCTTTTACTCTTCAACGTTATTCCATTTAGGTAACGGAATCATTGGAAGACTGTGACAGATTTTTGACATTTCTCACACTTTCTCCCCCAGCTTGTGATGATGATTGCACAGGACTCCTGCTATCTGACCTTATCAATTTGGAAACCATTTTGATGACATTAAACGTAACAGGCTTTGATCCAGCTCCCTATAATCTCTTTGCTGACATAGAAAACAGGACAGAACAATACAAGGTGAGATGCTCTATTTGCTTTCTTGGTGACTCGGGTGAGGTCATCTGTCATCAGACAGAGATCAGGATGGGTTACAGAGTTATCAAGTTAAAGTTTTGTCCATCAATGACAGCTTTCGGTCTTTCCAAAGAGACCGGGGCAAAACTTTACATTTCCCCAGCAGTCAGTTTGCAAGCCAGTGTGGATTAGTTGGATTACTTTATCAATAGGATCCCAAGCTCCCCAACATCCCCACACTGTTCCAACATGGTGAGCATAGCCTTTGCCAGCCCACCCATTCCTGCCCTGATCTGGGTCCTGTCAATGAGGGCTGTTTGCCCTTCCACCCAGGCTGGTGAAGCTATTGGGGATGCCCAGGATGTCACCCTGCTGAGGCTTCAGGTGGGAGGGGTGTCTCAGCAACGGCCTCCTTTCAACATCATTCGCCCTTCCAGTCCCTCCCCCATAACAAGCCATCAATTAAGTCTGGTCCCAGTGGATGCTGAGTCCCCCTTTTCCTCTCCATCAACACCAATACCACCCAGCTTCTCTCCTCAGCCTGAGACACACACACACACACACACACACACACACACACACACACACACACACACACACACACACACACACACACACACACAGCAACACACACACACAGCAACACACACACACACACACAGCAACACACACACACAGCAACACACACACACACACACAGCAACACACACACACACAGCAACACACACACACACAGCAACACACACACACACACACACCAACACACACACACACCAACACACACA